CAGAGGGGAGAGATGCATAGAAATTATGAAGGCTGCTTGACTTGAATGCGTCTTTCAGAGAGTCACAATTCTGCAGTTCAGCCAGTTCCATTTGGTAAATTGTATCCACATTTTCAATGGCAATAGAAAATGGGTTACGGAAAAGCTGTATGTCCTGTTCATGGAGATGAAGCTCTTTAAATCCAAATTGGAACTCCTTTTGCAATTTTTCCAGTGAATCCACACATGTTTTGTTTGGGAATGCAACCAATGGTTTTTCCGCTAACAGATTTTGAGTTGTGGGGAGATGGCAGAAGTTTTCCTCCTCCACTTGTTTGATGAGGAGGCCTAATTTTACTTCAAATGCTTTGACATGTGATTGCATATCACAGATGAGCTTCCCCTTTCCTTGAAGTTGCACATTGAAACTGTTGAGTAGCTCTGTTGCATCTGTCAGAAAGGCAAGGTGCCATTTCCATTCTGCATCATTGAGCTCTGGTACTTCTTTATTTTTCTAAAGCAGAAAATCTGTAATCTGTGGAAGTAAGTCATATAAACGTTTCAAAACTCTCCCTCGACTCAGCCAACGGACTTCTGTGTGATACAGAACATATTCATAGTCAACATTTAGCTCAGACAGAAATTCCTGAAATTGTCTGTGGTTTAGTGCATGAGCTCTAATGAAGTTAACACAAGATACCACAAATTTCATAACAGAGTCCCACTTCAGTGATTTACTACACAGCGCTTGTTGGTGGATGAGGCAGTGTATGGCTATTGGATGAGAATGGTTATGTTTGTCCATCTCTTGGTTAATGCGAGCAATTACTCCTTTCTTAGACCCCACCATGCTAGGAGCACCATCAGTTGTCACACTGGCCAGTTTAACCCAGTTCAGCTCCAAACCATTCACAGTTTGGCAAAACTTTTCATAGATATCCTCTCTTCTTGGTTCTTTCGGTAAAGTCACGTAGAAGGGAAGTAATAAAATAATAAAAATAAAACATAATAAAATAATTTGCATATCAAGAGGAATTTAGCATATTTATGGGAAATGCAGGAATGTTATTAGTACTACATATGCAGCACGGGCATATGTAGTACTAATCACATTCTTGCATTTTCCATAAATATGCTAAATTCCTCTTGATATGCAAATTATTTTGTCAAGGGGCTCTTTCCCCCGTTTCCAACCCAGCTTATATATGCTCCAAGCTCGTGTGCTGTTTCATTCAGATGCTGTCTCCCCAACAGACCTGGTTTTCACCTGAGGACGGCTGCTTGCGTTGTGGCCGAAACGTCGTGAGAATTATTTTATTATGTTTTACTTTTATTATTTTATTACTTCCCTTCTATGTGACTTTACCGAAAGAACCAAGAAGATGAATCCCTGCAGTCACGAAAGCTTTAAATCGAAAGATATCCTCTCCTGTAGTTGTTCCTTTGATGCTTTGCAGTACAGCAAGCTCTTCTGTGACTTCGAAATAGTCATTCGTCCCACGAATAAAAATTAGAAGTTGTGCAGAATCACGAACATCATTGCTTTCGTCGAGTGCCAAGGAAAATTAGGAAAGTTTTTTTTGTGGAGTTTTGCAAATGCTGATGCAAATTGTCTCCAATTTCTTCAATCTTCCGTGTAATTGTAGGTCCTGAAAGACTCACTGTACTAAATAAATCGGCCTTCTCTGGACGCATCTCTTTGGCAACAGAAAGAAGGCATTCTTTAACAAATTCTCCCTCCACGAATGGTCTGCCAGTGCACGCTATTAGCTTGGCAACTTGAAAACTTGCTCGCAGTGATGAAATATTTAGCTGCTTCTGCTTCACAAAAGTATTTTGCTGAGTTGTTAATGTATTTTTCAGTTTTAATATTTTATCTTTTCCCACTTCTCCGACCAAACAATCATATTTATCTTCATGTTGAGTTTCATAGTGTCGACGTAAATTGTATTCTTTGAACACAGACACTATATTCTGGCATATCAGACACACAGCTCTTTCCTTGTACTGCATGAAAAAGTAATCATAAGTCCACTGTTCTTTGAATATCCTACACTCCGAGTCAGTTTTTCTCTTTCTTGACATCATTGTTCCCTAGGGAGTCAAAATTGCTATTAGTAAAATACCAATATATACAGCGCTACAAAAACAATATACCAGCAATAACTTTGCCCAAACAGAGACATACAGAATGCACTGCCCATCAATGCAGTCTGATTGGGGGGAACTCCGCCCCCTCTCCCTCTTCCACCAATGACCGTCCTTCTCATGTAGAAAAAAAGTAACAGACAGGCAGCGGCGGCAAAAACACCCGGCGGGCCGGATAAATGTCCTCGGCGGGCCGCATGTGGCCCGCGGGCCGTAGTTTGAGGACCCCTGGTGTAGTGTATAGTAGTGTATAGTGTAGTAGACTAGTACAGCACACCGGCGTGTTGGAGAGCCAAGCCACAACATTTACAATCTGAGTACGACGTTTCGCCAGTATTTACGACCAGCTTCATCAGGCGTAGATGTGGTAACGACGCTTCTGCGCTCTTGCGCCACGTGGAGGGGGATGGTTACTGAGTCCACGGGTACGTTTTGCATGCGCATTATGGGAGCCCTTTAAACTGATTTGTGTCTGCGCGACATTGCCGGCCCCCACGCGGCAACGCGGCTTGTTCACGCGGCAACGCGGATTGTTCACGCGGCCAACGCGGCTTGTTTCACGCGGCAACGCGGCTTGTTCACGCGGCAACACAGTCTGTTCACGCGGCACTCACGCGCCACGCTGAGGGCCAGGAGGGCCATTTCGGGCTGCCGCACCAGCGTCGTCGTGGCCGCCCGCACACGATCGTGGGACACCTGCGGCGAGGGGGGGGTGTGTGAGGTGGGGGGTGGGGGGGGTGAGGTGGGGGGGGAGAAGGGGGGTGTGAGGTGGGGGGTGGGGGGGGCGAGGTGGGGGGGGGGAGACGAGGGGGGGTGGGGGGGGCGAGGTGGGGGGGGAGACGAGGGGGGCGAAGGGGCGAGCGGGTGAGGTGGGGGGGGGGGGATGAGAGGGGGGCGAGGAGGTGAGGTGGGGGGGAGACGAGGGGGGGGGGGCAAGGGGGGGCATCAGCCGCGTGTGGTGGTACCGAGCTCACACGAACGCGAAGCAGTGCCCCCCCCCCCGCCTCTCAGACCGCCGTCTCCGCTCCTGCTGCCGCCTCGCCCCTGCACACTCCCCCTTCCTCAGCGCAGAGTCCGCCCACTGGCATCTCTCCGTGCAGGTGGCACGACCGGTGTGACACGTGTAGTAGTAGCTACTACAGCTACTACAGTCGTTGTAGTAGCTACTACAGCTACTACTACACGTGTAGTAGCTACACATGCTACGGGCCCCGCACTTTCAAGGGCCCCGCGATAAACGCTTTCAAGCTATCAATTCCGCTTCAGTGATTCTGCACTTGCTCTATTACTATAGCACTATACCGCCTTCAACTTTTACGAACGACTGGGTGTTTAAGTTAGCGATTTGTCGTTTTAGCTGGCTGTATAGCAAATGAAACATACAATTACTTTCATGTGCAAGTTAACATGTATGTGTTTTAATATTTACATGTTTTATTTTTTATTTAGGGCCCTTCATAACACGCATGCTACAGGCTCCGCACGAGCTTAGTCCCGCACTGCCCTCGGGTCGAGTGCGACGGCGTCGTCGGCCACGGGTCCCGTGAGCGACTGAGCGGCCACGAGCGTGAGCACGATTGGCCGCCCGGGTTAATCAGTGGCGCGTGCACCCCGCAGCTCCGCACACTCGGTCACGCGTGGCACTCACCTCGTGACTTCATCCAATACTGGTTTGACCCGTACAGCCTGTACAGCCAGGGCTGTACGGGTCAGCGGACCTGGAGACACGTGTTTACCTCTCACTCACTCACTCAGCTACTCACCCAACCACTCAATCACCCCACTCACTCACTCAGCCACTCATCAGCCACTCACTCACTCACTCAGCCACTCACTCAGGCCACACTCACTCACTCAGCACTCACTCAGCCACTCACTCACCCACTCACCACTCACCACACTCACTCACCCTCCTCAGACTCATCACTCACGACTCACTACGCCCTACCGTCCCACCACTCCTCAGCCACTCCTACCTCCCAATCACTCAGACAATCAATCACCCCTCACTCAGCCCCTCACTCACCCAATCATTCAGCCACCACTCACTCAGCCACTCACTCACACAATCACTCAGCCCTCACTCACTCACTCAGCCACTCACTCACTCGCCCACTCCATCACCCACTCACTCAGCTACTCACTCAGCCACTCACTCAGCCTCACCACTCACCACATCACTCAGCCAATCACTCAGCCACTCACTCAGCCACTCACTCACTCAGCCACTCACTCAGTCACTCACTCACCCACTCACTCGCCCACTCACTCAGCCACTCACTCACCCAATCACTCAGACTCAGCCATCAATCACCCCCACTCAGCCACTCACTCACTCACCACTCACTCAGCCACTCACTCACCCACTCACTCCCCCCACTCACTCAGCCCACTCACTCAGCCACTCACTCAGCCACTCACTCAGCCACTCACTCACCCACTCACTCACCCACTCACTCACTCAGCCACTCACTCAGCCACTCACTCACTCACCCACTCACTCACTCACCCACTCACTCAGCACCACTCAGCCACTCACCACAGTGCAGGTCACAACAGTTCTCACCATGCTTCTGCCCTCGCAACGCTCAGCTTCGAATCCCTCCCATCTCCTATCACCCCCCAGCCCCCCCCCCCCCAAGCGCTTTCAGTAACCTTGCTCTATTGAAGTCACGTGTTCACTCTTAATGTCACAACTTTGAGGTTGCTGTTTGTTGCTGGCCGCTTTACGTTGCGGGCCTTGGGGGCCCGTGCTCAGCCGCTGTGCTTTGGACAAATGAAAAAGCGGACCCCACCGCGTTCGTCAGATCCGCTCAGCTCCCGAGCGCTTCACTGAGCCGAGCGCCGAGGTGTTGGCCCAGAGTGCGGTGGCTCACCAGGAGGAGGACGGTCACGACGCCGGCAAACACCTGGAAGCACAGCGCCTGCGGGGACAGGGCGGCAGCGATTCACGGAGCCCGCTCCGTGCATTGCCGCACTCTGCACGGACCAGGCCACGCTACAGTCGGACACCGCACGGCGCCCCACGCTACAGCCGAACAAATACCAATTTGTCTTGGGTCAGATCGCGCGAGTAAAATGTTGCGTCGTACACCCTCCTCCACCCGACACAGGATAAAATGCTTCATTAGATTTTATTTTACTTTCGTGCAAAAAAACTACATTTGTTCCTCTGGAAATGTGGATGCTGTAGAAGGGCTTAAGAATCAGCGGCTTGCACGAGAAGGGTTGGCAGGTATAGACTGTCACGTATACTGTCAGTGATAGTGATGTAGGTAGGTCCCTTACCCGCCGTGGGGTCTCCAGGGTCGTTATCTTCGGATCTTCCCTTTGATCAGCCATGACTGCGAGTTTCGATCCAGCTGCGAAAATGACAAACGCATCAACTCGGTACTGAAGAAAGGCAATTGCCGGAAACGTCGCCGATTAAATGTTTGTTTTCCTTGTAAGGTCACGCAGTGTTATTGATTGTATTGTTGTTGTAGTTGTTGTAGTTGTTGTTGTTGTAGTTGTTGTAGTTGTTGTTGTCAGTGCTATATAGACCCCCGGCCTGCATGCTGCACGTGAACACTCCGCGCCCTGCTCTGTTTAAATCAGTGGTTCTAAACCCGGCGTGGTTCTAAACCCGGCGTGGTTCTAAACCCGGCGTGGTTCTAAACCCGGCGTGGTTCTAAACCCGGCGTGGTTCTAAACCCGGCGTGGTTCTAAACCCGGCGTGGTTCTAAACCCGGCGTGGTTCTAAACCCGGCGTGGTTCTAACCCGGCGTGGTTCTAAACCCGGCGTGGTTCTAAACCCGGTGTGGTTCTAAACCCGGCGTGGTTCTGAACCCGGCGTGGTTCTGAACCCGGCGTGGTTCTGAACCCGGCGTGGTTCTAAACCCGGCGTGGTTCTGAACCCGGCGTGGTTCTAAACCCGGCGTGGTGTTCTGAACCCGCGTGGTTCTGAACCCGGCGTGTTCTAAACCGGTATGGTTCTAAACCCGGCGTGGTTCGGAACCCGGCGTGGTTCTGAACCGGCGTGGTTCTAAACCCGGCGTGGTTCTGAACCCGGCGTGGTTCTAAACCCGTCGTGGTTCTGAACCCGGTGTGGTTCTAAGAGGGGGGGACGCCGAGAACCCTCGGCTCATCCGACACCCGCCGTGGGATCTGCGAGCGCGAGGAACAATTAGCCGGTCCCGATCGATCCTGTCACTTCCAACTGGTTGAGTGGCTGGGGGGGATATCGAATACCAAGGGATTATCACCAACACGCCCTGACCAGCGTGGTGAAGTATGGTCGAAACAATCCGCAGGCGTGACAACGGCGAGCTTTTATCCGGCAATGAATCGACATATCTGGCACGGTGGTAATCTCAGTTTCAGTTTTGATGATAATCGCAATCATGCGTGGCATTACTGTGTGATGCATTGTTATTGTTGTGATTATTGTGACTTATGTTATTATTTTATATTGTGATTATTGTTATTGTTGTATTATTGGATTATTGTTAACTTGGGAAGCCTCAAGGAGCCCTCGAGATTTTCTTTTTCTTTCTATATTTAATTAGATAATTTTTTTTATAATATTTACTCAGTATTTTAATTTAAACAATTTTTTTTTATTTTTTACCTACGTGACTTTCCCGAAAAAACTAAGAGTATATTTTCATTTGTATTTAATTTTCTATTTTTTATGTAACCAGGTTAGGCCCACTGAGCTGCACAGCTCTTTCTTCAGAAGCGACCTGCCCACAAATGACAGGCCCAGCGAAGTGGCTTCTCGCGTGGTCATTGATAGCGGCCGAATCCTCTTCAAACTATCTCCGCGACTTTACCGAAAGAACCAAGAATATTCTCTCAACGCGTGTTTCTAAATATTGATGGGAAAAAAACGGAGGACCCGGAGAAAAACCCACGCGATCATGGAGAGAGAAAGAGAACATGAAAACTGCACATCCAGCAGGCGTCCGTGTCGGGATCGAAGCCACATTGGGTCCTGTTACATTCATTGGATGCGCGATCGACTCCACCAATGAGAGTTTGGCCTCTTGCCGGGGAACCCCGAAAGAGCTCCACCACGACGCATACGAGGGAATGGGGGTGCCACTCTTAAAGCTCCGCACAGACAGATTCAAGAATCATCCATTGCTGTGCTGCCACCTGCTGGCCACGTGACGGCCAGGCCCCAAGGCGAACAGCACCTGCTGCTGCAGCACCTGCTGCTGCAGCACCTGCTGCTGCAGCACCTGCTGCTGCAGCACCTGCTGCTGCAGCACCTGCTGCTGCAGCACCTGCTGCTGCAGCACCTGCTGCTGCAGCACCTGCTGCTGCTGCACCTGCTGCTGCTGCTCTTCCCCAGCCGAGCGAGTCAACCACGGAACGCGCAGTCCCGGGAATGGAAAGTTAAAAGCAGAAGCAGGGAAATTCCCCCCTACCACAATCCAGTCGCGCCCTGGAAATTGCAGAAGGTAAAAATCCCCCGAATAGCATGCATAGGCTGTTGGGCCAAGTGCTGTTTATTTAGTCTCAAGTGGCGCACGAAGAGATGCTGTGGTCAGAACCGCGACCGGTCCGCCTTTGTCTCCCCCAGTACCGCTGTTTAGACACCACACCAGGTAATCATTTAAGGTTCAGTCGACCTAGGGGAGGTGCAGGATCCGGTCCAAATGGCATTCGCCACTGATATTAGCCGTGTTCGAAAATCGAACTCGGATTAGAAGTTTCGTAGCGCAATGTGCTACCGCTGAGCAAAAGCTCTCGGTAAACATATGCCTCGTACAGACAAACAGACGCACATGGCTACACAGATACAATGACAAAGATCCCCCGTGTAGCCTCAGAAGACTGTTGGGGCAAGTGCCGTTGGCTAGCACCTATGAAGGCCGGCACAGCGCGCGAGGGGGTGGGTGGCCAGCACTACGCCCGACCGCTTTTGTCTCCCGAGTGGAAACTTTACACACCGCACCAGGTACTAATTTGAGGCTGTGTCGACCTAGGAGAGGCCCAGGACCGGTTTAGATAATCGTCACTAACGTTGGTGGCAGTGAGCGGTAATCGATTTCGGCTCACCGGGTTCGTAGCGCAGCGCGCTAACGAAAGCGCCACCGCTCTCTAAGTACATCTCTCACACACGCGCGCGAAGGTGTCACTTGAAGGCACATTGTATGTTGACCTTCTGTCGCATCGTACGTAACCAACCGTGCAAATCACTTTGACGAAGACCGTGTGTGTGTGAGAGAGAGAGAGAGCAAGATCGGTGATCAGCAGGGACGCACACCTACCTGCTGCACGCTTCCTTCGAATGCCCCCCACTTGTTCAGTGAAAGCCCCTCGCACCAGCCACCCACCCCCCCCCTAACCAACAACGCGGAACTTGCACCCCCACCACTCACGAGGAAGATGAGCGCCCGTCACGTGCGCGAGGGTA